TTTGCCCCGATTTCTCTTTAGCTTTGTTATTGTTTTACTCTTGTAAAATGCCACGCCGCTTTATATTCTTAATCGTTGACCTATTAGCGGCAAGTCCAAGCAGAGTTTAGCATTTTCAGAGCTTATTATCATAGTTTACAGCACTTTGCGTTGCTATGTAGCTTTTCATGCATTTAGCTGGGAGCTGTCTTTCATATTTTTCTCATTCATTTCATATTTTTTTGACGATGATATTTGTTTTTCACCAAAAAGCACAATAAAGTCACGGCCTTATTCCAATCATTCTGTGTTCTGTTATTTTATTCACAATTGACTATTTATAAAACAGTTTTGTTTTCTTCTGGGAAATATAACTATTTGTATTAGAAGTGTTGCGCAGTTCCAGACGGGCGCTATATCTGCTATGTAAAGATATGTGCATGATGATCTTTGGTTCTACCGTTTTAATAGCTTAGAAATGCTACTATTGGTTCTACATTCATACGTATCTGCTATATATGGTTTTGTTCATTTATCAAGAAATTGCGTCATCTTAGACCCCATATCTTTCAACGAAATATATCTCAGCAATAACTTAAGTTCCGTCTGCTTTCGAACCTTGTCGCTGGAAAGCTACTTAGTAATAAGAATACCCGTTAATAAATTAATACTCATTTACAGGTGAACGTTCTTCTTGTAGGAAAATTTTGAAAAGAAAAAGAATACGGCATCAATGTAGACCACAACGATATTCGAAATCCGGGTTTTAGTATTGCCAATAAAGCTACATGTAAGGGACAAGCTGTTAAACTGAGCCTGCAATTTCGTGAAAATAATATCACAATGCACATGCTTTTTACATAAAGTTATTAAATACAAATATAACAACATATTTGTTTACTTGATTTTTACCAATTAAAATAAAACTGATTAACACAACATGACATAAACTGCAAATAATAACAGCTCCTTCCATAGGCCTCCATAAGAGACGACGCCGCTCACCGGCGTCGCCAACAACAAACTTCAACGGGCTGAATGCAACATACTATATACCATATATATATATTTCAATATAAAAATAAAAAAAGAATTCGACAAAATAAAGTTTAGAGAGAAAAAATATATTAAATATTAGTAAGAGAAATAAATATAATATTTTGAGCGGCCTAAATACCGGTAACCTGTTTAAGGTTAAGACCTTCTTTTATCTTTTTCGGATAGCTACATAACTTGTGAAATACTGGCGGAAGACAATTTGCTTACAAGAAACTTCAATTGATACATAATATTACATTTCGTGCAGTTCAAGATGTTTCACTGGGGGACACTTGTTATATTTGGATGTTTAATTAATGTTTCTTCACTTGAAACAAATCACATCAAATGTGGAGAAGATTACAACATCCTGAAAAAGTTGATCGAACTTGAGGAAGAAGTTAAAAACCTTAAGACTAACCTAAGGGGTAAGTTTTTTTATCGTTGCAAAAATAACATTATAGTTTTTTTGAGAACGTAGGAAAAGTATAAAGGTCATCATATAAATAATTTAAACGATGCAAGTAGCTCAAAAAAGATTTTAGTATCAACTAAGTCATCAATTATCATCAATTATCGTTTTCACTTACTATTGAAAAGAAAGCTGCACAATTATAAGAGGCGTAAATTGAAACGGTTTTCGTTTTGATTAATCTAATTCTTAACTTTTTACAAATTGAATGTAAATACTGGAATAAACATATAAGCCTGATACTTTCTTTAACAGAACATAGCAGCGAGAATGAAAAATGCAAGAATGTAGCATTTCGAGCCCAACTGACAAAGAGCCTTGGAACTGTTACTCTTGGACAAAAAATTGTTTATGACAGTGTTGAACTTAACAATGGCAAAGCATTCCATCCGTTCCATAGCGTGTTTACTGCTCCTTGTGATGGGATATACATGTTTTCAATCACGATCGGGAATGTAGGTAAACAGGGAGTGGTTCATCTGAAGAAAAATGGCGAAACTATCGAATACGCATGGGCTGGTTACAACAAAGGTTGGGATATGGGAGGTGTTACGACTGTGGCTAAACTTAACGCTGGTGATGATGTGTGGGTAGAGGGAAGAAAAATTATTGAGGGTGTAAATACTCACGATGGGATTGGTGTTCGAAGACACACTGCCTTCGCTGGAGCGTTAATAAATGCAATGTAATTCGCCGTTTTCTAGAAAGCATTACTATGATGACTGTAACGACAAGCCATGCGTGAAAAAAGTCTTTAGATTTGTGTAACATATTTAGATGATAATAAATAATTGCAGTTGAATTGATTGTCATTTAATTTTTTTGGTATGTCCTTTATATTAGATTAGTCGGTTTTTGTCTCGTATCATCTCCTATTCAACATCCAATTGTCATCCTGTTAATTGCGATAATTGGTTTAAACATATTTGTTTAAGTTCGATTGCGAAACAAGTTCTATGCAACTTATATAAATCACTTTCGAATCCGAACCAAGCAGTACTGGTGTCATATGAAGAAACATGGTTGTTACTCGAACCCATGATCCCTGGGTTGAGAGGCAGACACCTTAATCATTAGACCACCGCTCCTCTGCGATAATTAAGTTGTTATCTGATGTGTCAAACATGCACAGTCATGTATTCATAATACTGCATCAATTCTTTTTTAAGAAGGTTTTTTGTTAGCGGGGGCGCGCGGCGAAGTTTTATTTTTTATTCATTAAACTTCGCCCCGCGCCTTCGCTAATTAGCGTGTTGTCGGTCCGCGCCCCGCCATTTTAACTTTCTCATTCTCGACTTTTCGCTTGGCGGGTCGCGGGACGAAAACACGTTAAATAGCGGGAGCGCACGGCGAAGTTTTATTTTTTAAACTTCGCCCCGTGCCCGTGCTTATTAGCGTGTTTTCGTCCCACGACCCAGCCGTTTTATTTATTAAATCTCGCTCCGTGCCCCCGCGGGACGAAGTTTTATTTATTAAACTTCGCCCCGCACCCTCGCTAATAAGCGTGTTTTCGGTTCGCGCCCCCGCCATTTTTACTTGTAAATTTTCGATTTTTCGCTTGGCGGGGTCAAGGGGCCAAAACACGAATGTATGGTGGCTAATTTGTGCCAATCGTGTTTTCGCCCCGCGAAACATCGAAACACGAGGCTGATTTGTATGAGGTGGGCGTAGACCCGAGTATAAATCAGATTGCGTTCTTTCTCTTTTGTATCATAGTCACACATAAAAACACGTTCCCTGTTGTCACAATATGAAACCCCAGAAAAAAGTAACCAATGAACGAGCATCTGAATATGAAACTTCTGCCTCTTTTCCTTGCTCTGCCGTCACAATAGATAAATCCCAGCAAAAATGAACCAATCAATGGGCATGCTCCGGAATGCGGGAAACTAATACCTGCACTACAGTTAACGTACTGTGCATGTATATGTATAAGAATTAACTCTGAAACATTTTCAACAGAAACGTCCCCCTAACTATGATACAAGTAGTTTAAATTCGACAAGGTGGTATAACATCGAAACACAAGGCTATCTGATTTATCAGATTGCCGAGTGTTTTGATGTTCTTTCTCTTTTGTATCATAGTCAAACATAAAAAACATTTTCCCTGTTGTCACAATATGAAACCCCAGAAGAAATAACCAATGAAGGAGCATCTGAATATGATATTTCTATCGCTATCCCTTTCCCTGCCGTGACAATAAGTAAACCCCAGCAAAAATGAGCCAATCAATGGATATGCTCTAGAGTGCGGGTTACTTATACCTGCACTCCAGTTAACCACTGTGCATGTATATGTATACGATATAACTCTGACACATTTTCAACAGAAAGGTTCCCAAACTATGATACAATAAAAGTAATATTGCAGGAGAATCTTGATCCATTGCTAGTATTTGACCATAAAGAACAAATCACCACTGGTGCTATCGTGCCTCTTCCTTAGTAATATCCAGTCGAGTCAAATCAATAAACCAGTTTAATAACCATTTTGTATTGACATGTTAACATAGACAAAACTTTTATTAAACGCTTGCCAAGAAATCGTCATCATCAATTCTAACATTCCACGTGATTTTGTCACTATAGACAAAGAATAAAAAAAGAATAAACTGCCAATAAACACAGGTTAGGGACTACTTGTACAATCATGTATTTATATGCGGCTGTTATATTTCCACCCTCGATTATATGGTTTACAAAGCCTTTTAAAGCAACAATAAAAAGCATTTTTATTTATATTTTCAGTTCTTTTCATACAATACCGAAAAAATATCTCACATACACTAACGCCACATATTTGATCCACATCAGTTAATGGTGGGTTCCCACTGCCGATCAGATCAATTCGATCATCCCGATCACCCAAATTCCCCGATCAGGCCCGACCAAGCTCGACTAAAGGCGTATACACGACTTCTTCTCGACCTCTTGTCGATCACACACGATTCCCACACGATTATTCACGACTCCTTCACGACGTCAACGCCGACCACTTTTCGATTTCCGCTCGATCATCCCGACCTTTACACGATCCCTACACGATCTCAACTCGACCTACTGGATCTCTGCTCGATCGGTGTCAGATCTTTCCCGACCAGATCGTCATGGTCGTACTCGAGTCGTAGAAGGTCGTGAACAGTCGTGTACCAAAACTTTTAGAATAAAAACTTCAAACAGTGTTGATCATTATCACTTCATCTTGAAACTTCATAGTATATGTTGTGTCCAGCATAGTATAAATATTTATGGAGATTGAACAGTTGCAGTTGTGGGCCAGATGGTTAGAGCTCCAGAGAGACAGGGCCATTGCTGTCCTAGAGTTGGAAACAAGAGGAAGAGGCTGAGGGTCGTAGGCATAGACGTAGGCGACAAATGCGCAGGAAAATATGGATGAAGCAGTGGGCTTGCACGACGACCACTGTATGGGCATTATGAGCAACTGCTACAGGAGCTAAACAGGGAGGACCCAAAAGGATATCAAAAATTTCCTAAGGGTAGACGCTGATATGTTTGGGGAGCTTGTTGATCGCATATCACCCAGAATTCAGAAAAAGAACACCAACTTCAGGTAAATCATGGGTTCGATCCCATCATTTTCACGTATTTCTGAAATAATTAGTCATCGATTTACTTTTCCAACCATTTGACTTCTACAGCTCTGTGCAATTGTCACTAATATTTAAGAAATTTTAATACCGTTGTATCATAGTAGGCTAGTTATTACTTATCATTGTTCAATCTCTATTTCAGGGAAGCCCTGGAGCCTGGATTGAAGTTGGCGGTCACTCTTCGTCATCTCGCAACTGGAGCCTCGTATTCAGACTTTGATGTACTCATTCCGAGTGGGAAGTAACACAATAAGTAAATTCGTCCCTGAAGTTTTGGATGCTATAATACAGGAGTACTCTGAAGAGGTGCTGCCAGCCGTCGTCACTGCTGAACAATGGCAGCAGATTGCAGATGACTTCCGAACCAAGTGGAATTTTCCTCATGTCTGCGGGGCTCTTGATGGTAAGCACGTGAGGATAAAGAACCCGAAGAACTCTGGGTCTCTGTTCTATAACTATAAAGGCTTCTTTTCCATAATACTACTCGCACTCGTAGACGCATACTACAAATTCATCTGGGTAAGCGTTGGTGCTTATGGCAGTGCATCCGATGCCCAGCTATTCAATAACACTGAACTCAGAACCATGCTAGAAGAAAACAGCCTTGGTTTGCCGGACCCTGATCCACTGCCTGGCGATGACATGAACACCCCATACTTCCTCATTGGAGATGACGCTTTCCCCGTGAGCTCGTGTATGGTCGAACAGTGATCGGGGTTTGATCGTGTGCGGTCGTGTGTGGTCGTGGAGTAGTCGGGTAGCAGTCTAGATAATCTGGACAAGAGATCGAACAGAGATCTACTTAATCGGGATGCGATCGTATATTACTCGAGAAGAAGTCGAGATGATCGGGTACAGATAGGGTTAAAGATGCCAATCCGACCAAACAAGATCGCTACACGATTGTTTCTCGATCAACTCGATCTTCAACTCGATCAATACACGATCGCTTCCCGAGCTCTTCTCGACCGCTTGGCTACACGATCGCTACACGAATTTTTTTGACATGTCAAAAAAATTCGGGTAGAAAGCCCGATCGATGCCGACCAAGGTAGACCTCCCCGACCACTCCCGATCAATCATGCCGACCGACCCAGACCAGTACCCGATCGCTTGATCGGGCTTGATCGAGTTGATCTGATCGGCAGTGGGAGCCCAGCTTTATGCTGTGTTCTCACCGCCGATCAGATCAACTCGATCAAGCACGATCATGCGATCGGGTACCGGTTTAGCTCGGTCTGCATGCGTAATCGGGGGTGGTCGGAGCGGTCTACCTTGGTCGGCATGGCTCGGGCTTCCTACCCGAATATATTTACATGTCAAAAAAAAATTCGAGTAGCGATCGAGTAGATAAGCGGTCGAGAAGCGATCGTTTAGTGATCGAGTAGAAGATCTAGTTGATCGAGAACAAATCGTGTAGCGATCTAGTTTGGTCGGGTATACATTTCTTACCCGATCTGTACACGAACATCTCGACTTCGATACACGACTATTCACGACTCGATTACAATCATTACGATCTGGTCGGGTGAAAATCTGGCAACGATCGAGCAGAGGTCGAGTTAGTCTAGTTGAGATCGTGTATGACTCGCGTATATATGTGGCTGATTTAAGAAATAAAACGGCGGGGTCGCGGGACGAGAACACGCTAATTAGCGGGGGCGCGGGGCGAAGTTAAATAAATAAAACTTCGCCTCGCACCCTCGCTAATTAGCGTATTTTCGTCCCGCGACCCCGCCAAGCCAAAAGTCGATAATTAACATGTTAAAATGGCGGGGCGCCGGGCAAAAACACGTGTTTTCGCTCCGTACCCCCGCCGTTTTATTTCTTAAATCTCGCCCCGCGCCCCCGCGCGGCGAAGTTTTATTTATTAAATAACGCCACGCGCCCTCGCTAATTAGCGTGTTTCGCTGCGCGCCCCACAATTTTAACTTGTTTATTTTCGACGTTTCGCTTGGCGGGGTCGCGGGGCGAAAACACGGATGGCACAAATCACCCACCATACGTATAGGTCTGGGTGATCGTGAAGAAGTCGGGATGTTCGTCGGGTTGTTGTCGAAAAGAAGTCGTAAAACATCGTGTAGAGTCGACTTGAGGTCGTGTAAGAGTCGTGACGTCATCCTTAGTATACAACTCATTCATAAACGCTGACGTCATTTCATACATACAAGAATGATAAATGGGGCGCTGCTGTAACCACAATACAATCCATTCTAAGACGTCCAGTTTTTATTGTTGAAAACTTGATAAAATAACGTTTTTTCTTATTATTTCTTTTGTTAAATAATTTCTATATCTTAGCAACAGTACGGGTGCTAAAATCGAACAGCGTTATACGAAAATCGGCACTGGAAGTTATTTCCGCTTGAAAAAATACGGCCTTCGTAGTCCGTTCCTACGCATCAAAACTCCAAACCGGCGTTAAATAGCCGATACACAACGCTTTGACCGATATTATTTCTTAATTATATTTAGAAGTGATATCAAATAGTCAAAATTGTTTCTTGTTGCAGTTAAAAGGTCATCAGTGTATACCTCATGTAAGTGGCATAATTGTTCATCTGAAACAGACACGATGGACCTCGATCAAAAGTTAAATCAGTATTTGTTTGATGCAATTGATCATTTGCCCATGGAAACATATCATGCAAGGTGTTAAAATAGGAATCGTGTCCATAAAGTCATATCTAACCAATGCAAATTATAGTTCAATGCATATTATTTTGAGTGCATCGGGCCGGCAGTGTAATAGCTGCAGGCCTCAAGAAGACCCAAAATATTTCAAGAAAATCAAAAAAAAAATATTGAGGAAAATGTACCAAAATTTTACAAAAGGTAAAAACATTCAAGATCAAAGTTATGTTTTACATGTTATGTGCGGTTTAACACTGATTTTGCAGTATTTTATTGCCATATATCTACTGCGTTACTTACGCAGTAAGGGCTATTTTTTGCATAAGTTGAAGACTTTTTTGTAATTTTTTGGATTGAAAGTGCCGATTGTAATATGTAAATAACTTTTATTTGTTCACCTCACAATATTTTACTTACAAATTCATTTAAAAAAAATACATAAAAATTAACATGAATCTGAAGGCGTGCTGCTTTAAAGTAAAACTGCGCAACAACGTTATGCTACATTAAATGTCGTGGTTTAACACAAATCAGTTAAACTCACGTCTGCCCATTGCAATTCATACGTAATATAGACGTCTCTTGAAAGCATTGTATAATAAACAAATAAATAAGTAGGAAAAGGTGAATAAAACAGTTCGTTTCACAACATCTAAATCGTAACCAGTGATCTTCGGGCGTTTGCACCGTGTGATCACTTCATATTAACCACTGCTTGATTCAATATTATCAATTAAGCCTCGATCCCAAATTCCATGTTGTGAAAAAAATCAGCTCATACACAATCGGCACACCTCGGCTATCATTTATAATAACATCGGACTTAGGTAGATCTCACACGTGTAACGAATGCTTATTTTTGACATCCTAAGGAAAATAAAGTATATTCCGCTAAAAATATGATTGAAAATATGTCTGGCAATCATAATCAATTTAAAAGTTCCCACTGGTACAGATTTATAAACAAGTCTGAATTGATGTCAACCAGGTAGACATTTTGTACTTTCGGCTTTTACAATAATAAAAAGTATGTAAATAATGTACTGTTTACTTTTATAACTACGAATTAACATAATTTAGGTGGATTTTTACCAAATATACTACAATTGTTTTTGTCAACAGCTACCAGCATTTAATTACTTTTTGTTTTCACGTGTGGTTTCTTAGCATACGCTAGACCAAAAAGACCGCATTCGATCTGTGTATTCCTACTATCGAGGTCCTTATTCGAAGGTTGACGGAAAAGGCCGAGAAGATACGATAAGCTCAGACAGTCTACTATTTTGTCGGACCGCTGACGTCATTGAGAATATTATATCATTCTTTAGGTCTGCTGATACATCTTTAAATAAAGTAGGAAAATGTTTATAAAAGGTATTATATATAATTAACGATGCCGTTTGTACTCCTTAAAAATAGGACGGATGAATGGATGGATGGATGGAAGAATGGATGGAAACAAAAGTTTCTTTTTTTTCAAATTTTTATTACTTTTAAAATAGGCTCCTGTGGAAGCAATGTGTTTGTTACCCCAATAAAACAACAATTCAATATTTACACGAATAAGCACATAGGCACAAGCCGTTTTGAAATCGAATAAGCAGACGTCTTAAAAATGTATCATTCATCATAAAACTGACTAATCATGTCTTAAACATACTGGAGAAAAGTAAAAATACTAACAATATGACTTTCAAGCTTTTTCTAAAGAAAACCACAAAGTTCGTTTAAAAAATTCTTCAGATATTGTAAATCTTCTGGAAAATTGAAATTATTCAATAATGTATTTGTAAGTTTATCCTGCCATTTATAGAAAGATTTATCAATTGTCAGATAAAAATCAATTTTCTTTGTAAGTGATGACCAGTTTCAGAAAATAAGGCACCTAGCGACCTTGGTTCATCATTCTACTTTGACCTCTGACTTGACCTCTGCCTTGACTTGCCCCTTGACTCATTCCTTGACTTCTGCTCTGTCCCGCTTGAGGTCTGCCACCGGAACTTCTACTTCTGGATCCCATTTGCACACCTCCGGCTGTTCCTATGCCTCCAGACTGTCTCTCGAGACCTTGCCCTTGACCTTGACCTCCCCTTGACGGTACTTCAACGGGGTTATTTTGGTTAAAAACAGGAACGTCCTGGAGAAGTTGAACTTGAGATTGTCCAGCCTCACATCTTAAATATTCTTGCTGCCACCTACGGTATAAAGCATCCATTTGCCGTTCTCTTTGTTCGTGTATTGCTTGGTCTTTTAAATACACATCCTTCAAAATATTAGGTGATGGTAAATTCGTCACGTTCTGTCCTCTTTCTAGAGCTTGTCGAATTTCATCAAAAACCATCATTAAATTTACGTTGGACCTCACACCGGCGGCAGCTCTCATCTGGTTAAAATCCCGGACAGTCGCCTCCAACGCGAGCTCACGTTCTCTCATAAAGTTACGTCGGTCTGTGAGAACACGATTAATGTTTTGTAAGATTCTGCGCCATTGTATGGTGCTTACGTTGTTCATCTCAGTCAACCAATGGTCTTCGATCGGTAAACAAGTGCCTTCACGGAGGTCAATAGGTATAGTCTGCAAACAACAATTCAATCAGTCTTAGCATTAAAGCTAAAGCAAATGCGTAACAGATAACGTCATGTTAAGGCATTTAATTAATTAATTTATAATCAATTTAATCAAAATTAACCATGAACAAAATAAAATATTTAAGAGGCGTTGATCTTGATTTTCTGATATTTATGACTTCATTAAGAGAACGTGATATTTTAACGGTAAAATATGTAGCGACACTTTATCTATGGCACCAGTTTGTATTCAACTGCTTTATGGTCTTTGTTTTGATATAACTCCAACGGACTTTATGCACAGAAAGCCAAAGCACTAAACGCAAACAAAGCCAAAGGACATTATGTACGAAAAGCCAAACGAACTTAATACAACTAAATACACAGAAAGTGAAATGTCTAAATACACTAATAAAGCATAGAAAGTCAAAGGACTTAATGCACTGAAAGCCGAAGGACTTTATGACAATAAACCACGAATTTCCGGAAGTTAAACGATATAATCAAAAGGTAAAAGACTGTTTAAAATGTTAAAAATACTAACCCTTGGCAGATAGTATTCTGGTTTTCCTTCAACAAGAGTTGCTCTACCTGGTCGTTTACCCGTGCCATTTCTGTTACCAGCTGACCTGTGTAATATAACGGAAAGATAAGCAATTAGAGGTATAAATACTTAATTTAATATTGATACTAAATTAATAAAAAATATGCTTAAATATAACATACATACTTTACTTCATTTAATTATTTTATCTTTGTTGTGCGCCGAGTAAAGAGATATGCTGTCTACAGTCGTTCTTTTTAGAGGTGGTTTTATAATACAAGTATATGCCTAACTTCATACTTACATTGCTCGAACTTCGATCTTTTGACTAGAGGTCGGGAAGTCAAACAGGTATCCTCCCTCGATTCTGCCAGTAGTCCTGTCAACGTTGAATAGAGGTTGCCATTGTGGGTTCGTTGAATTTAGGTCACGGTAGTATACCTCTTGTCGCGGTATATCAGATTTAATCATCAAAGGGAAAGGTGGCGGTCTGAAGAATGATATGCCGAACTGAATACTGAAAATATAAAATAACATTTGAATTGAAAATTGAGTTTGTAAAATACTGCAACTGTGTACATGAACACATATTTTTTAATATGCTGACCAATTCCCCAATCTTCCGGTCAATTTCGTCATTTTTGGTAAACTTCGTTATTTTCCGACCAATTTTGTCAAGTTTCGGCAAAGTGAAGACTGAATTCATGTAGGCAAGGCACTAAAATTATTCTTTACAACGTTTGTTTTAGCATACTAGTTTAAGCCAATGCGTGTTAAGATTAAAAAATTTATAATACGTTGTAAAAGTCATTGCAAAAAAAATCTATTTGTTGACTATAGACTGTATTTATAGGTTGTTAAAACTCTTTTTATAGGTTCTAAGAAATGCTATAAATAGAACAATATTACCTTGCACCTAACGTCGGTATCCTGTATGCGTATCCAGCATCATCTAGACGCCCGAACTCTTTGAAGGCAATAGTGTTCATAATATTTTCAATTTCCATGGTAATAGCACCGGCTCGGTGTGCCAAATTCTCTTCTACCACTAACGTAGATGGGTCTTCAGCCTATAACAAATAATAAATACATGTATGTAAAAGAGTCCCTTCAGCCATTGATAATAATAATATCTGTCATAAGTTGCGGTTCGGACCGGAATATCCGTCCCGAGGGGACCCGCCCTTTGGGCGGTAACGAGGCTTGCCGAGAAAGTAATTGGCCTAATTTTCAAAAGAAGTAGTTAACGTTTTTTTTTTCAATGTAAATGGATATGTAAGATTGGTTTACTTATTCAACTAAAAGGTAACAACTACATTCTGACAAATATGTGACCTTGTACTTGATATGCCTTTCTATGTTCAAGAATTATGTTTCTTAGCATATCAACGCTTTGACACCTTAAATAATTGCCGGAACTTCACGAACTTATGACGAACGTTTCATATAAATGGTAAACATTTACCCTGAGTATATTTTCGTGCTCGCCTTCCCGCCAAGCCTTTTCGGCAAAAACAAATAATCTTGGCAACAACATTTTCCACAACATTTCTTCTGTTCTTATAACAGCTGTATCAAGTGTGGCAGCCAGACCTGTAAATCAAAGTTCAAGTTTTTTAAGTGGAAATAGATACTTTGGCAAAAATTCAAACCGAAAGTTTGTGTATGTATAAAAATTACATACAAAAAATAAACTAATCATCGTAAAGGCGGGACAGTACACGTTCGAATGCAATTTGACCCATCCGTGAAATTTGTCCGAAACATGAAATATCTAAATTATCCCCATAATAACGAATGGTAAAAACTATCAAATATTAAATTTTTTATTTATGTTGTCGAGGTACCAAATTTAAATATACTAGTAATCCTATATTTCTGAATCAAACTGTTTTTACCAACGAATTTTAAGAAATATCATAATAAATACAAAAAAAGAATATAAATTGCCTTCGTGAAATTTGAACCTTTGTCCTCATGTGGAAGGTGTTTTTTTTACCAACAGATGACTTAAAATAGACAGTAATGACAGAGTATTCTCCCTTTATAAAGTAAAAATAAGCAAACATTGCAGCCTATAATCTCTTTGATATGCATTTAAATAAGAATTTTGAATGATTAAGTGTTACCATGACTTTGATATGAAGAAGCGTGAACCTGCGTTCAGAACATTGTCTTGTTCTATGAAACATTTTTGCCAATTAATTTTAATTTCCTTCCATCGGTTCAATAGATACAGAGCTAACGGACAAACGGGTTGGCGGACGACAAGGAGCATAACATTCTACGTCCAAAATTGTGTGCAGGGCTTTACGATGTTGTTGTTGTTTTTTGTTGTTTGTTGTTTTTTGTTTTGTTTTTTTTTTGCTGTTGTTTCTTTTTGTTTTTTTTTTTTTTTTTTTTTTTTTTTTTTTTTTGCTGTTGTTTCTTTTTGATAACAGCATGATAGCAGCATTATTCATAATTATGGATGTTTTTGTTTTTTACATACCTAAGACATTTTCCTTTTTCATGAGAGGTTCGCAATTATGCAGTTTACACATTCTGTATTGAAGGAAAGTATATCCGTCTTTTCCGAGGTCCATATTAATGTAATGGTTCAGAGGTTCATACATCATCATACGATGCATATTAATGATGTGGAAACGCCTCGTTTTCCTGTTTCCAGGCTCGTCAAAATCTAATTCATACGCTTGGTCAAGGGCGAAAAAGTTCTCTGGTTTTAGCACGATCTACAAAAGAAACAAGAAGATTGTTTGTGTTAACGTATTCAAAATATATATTATATACTTTGTCATGAATATAATTGTATAATGACAAAAAAGGTATTTATGAAGATGTGTTCTTCCCCTGTAATATGATGGCAATTTTTGAAAACGTTATCTACTTGATGTTCTTTTGCCCTGAACATATCGACGAAATTCGGATAGAATTTAACATCAAGTCTGAAAATATGCATCAGCTTGGAAACAAAAATTATACGGTCCATGTACCATATTCAGTTCCGAACTTTATCAATGTTGTGTACCATGTTTTTAAACCAACCATTTATTGGAGTCAGGACTCGTTTTTTGCGACCGTTTAAAGTAGAATTTTCATTGTTTTGTTTCTAAAATTAGATGTCTGCAACATATTTTCATCAGTAAATAAATAACACGTGCCTGTACATAAAACAAAAAAGGCCCTGTGTCAGGAAATGGACGTAATAATCATGAACACATATATTGATCTCTGAAGAGCCGCCCTCTGTAAATCAACTACCTCTTCACAACAACGTTCTAAAAAAATTTAAAAGGAAGACCTCACAAAATATTTAACCATTCTAGAGCACCACCTCTAGGCAACAACCTTATTTTCTGTCTCCCATGGATGGTTGCTCTGCAGAGGTTGTATCATGATCTGCATACATCATACCTTAAATCCTTTATTAGCACATCGGTACGGGAAAATCCAGGAAGTTCGATCTTTTTTCTGTCCATTGTAGGGCAACAAGGCGTCATAGGTGCCGTTTGGATTCATTTCTGATGGCGGGTCAACAACCTCTCCGTCCATATACGCTAGCTGTTCTGTAGTCAAATTCCACTCTTCCGGACTTCCGGGAAACGTCTTATAGAAGTGGGCGACTAAGTTGCTTTGTGACATCTTCGATGATGGTGGAATCTGAAAAAGCAATTTCAGAAAATTATAAAATAGTTGAGGAACTCATAAATTGGACTTAAGACTATTATATGTGTGTATCTCATTATTTTTTTGCATGTTTTGTTTCCGTTGAACTTATTACGCGTCTGTCCGTGGTTGAGGTCGTTAACTTCAAACCACTTCCCCCTCAATTCAGAGGGTTCGAATTCCGACAGGGACTTTATATTCTTTCATGTAAGGAGGCTATTCAGCCAGCTAACCGAACGTCGGTGGTTTTACTCAGGTGCCCGTTCATGCTTGAAATACTGCACGGAAGGACACCTGAGGTCTTCCTCCTCCAGTAAACCTCGAAAAACGCCAATTTATCTATATATTGTTTGGTGTGACGTAAACCCTCACCCCCCCCCCCCCCCCCCCCAAAAAAGGTACGGATACAAAAAAAAACGCAAATATTCAAAATTAAGAAGGAAGCATACAGTCACTGGAGTCTTAACATTTCCCCGTAGTGCACTTATAAAATGTGTGCTATACCAAAGTATTCATAGACCTGTTAAAGACGAGTTTCAAAATTCCAAATTATAAGCATCAAGTGTGGGTTTAAGACGCTTATTAAACAAACAATAAAGAAATATAAAAAAAACTTCACCTACATTAATACAATCGTTAGTTTCCGGATCAACTATTGCCTCTTCGTTCACGTGCAGAACTGCATTCACAGAAGACAGTGTCGTCTGCATTGTGCCAATCAGTGTTGATAACGCCTTTGCATATGTTTCAATTTTATATCTCTTGCAAGACGGGAACTTTCCGAGGAACTGAGTGAGACCATCTCCGCCTGCGTGGAAATTTTTGAAAGGGACGCTCGCAATGCTGTACGCTCGATTTACTTCTAAAATAACGGCGTTGATGAAAGCAAATGTTTGATCTCGGCATGGGTCTAACAGACCCTGGATGGATAATTCATCTTCGGGAATTTCACTTGCGGGTATAGATGGAACAGGCGAGTTCAAGTAAAATTTGTTTGCAACAGTTGGATTTCCACGTATATTACTATCATGTCGTCTTTGAGAAGCTCTCTTTGCTGCTAGCATACCGCCAAGAAAGTTGAATCTTGGAATAATATCAACGTGTAAAGAATATGCATACGATAGGATATTTGCTAAATCATGTCGAGTATAAAACCCGGACGAAGGGAGTTGTTGGTCGCTGTCAGCTCCGAAAGTTGGAGGCAGGCATTGGTCCCCGTCTCCACACCTTTTTGACGCGTACTGAAAAAGAAAAAAAAGGGTAAAAGAAACTTTTCCTGACCATTTTTGCAAAAGCATTACGTTCCGTAACATTTGAAAACAAATATTTGTGAATGTTATATTTGATCGACACAATGAATAGTATTTAAGCGTATTTACGAGGAAAAAACACGTGTGTACATCATGGCGTCCATATTGTCTAAAATATGTATTACAAAGCGCCTGCTTAAGTTCATATGTATAGCCGGAACAAACCATCGATTTGTTTTATTTATTTGCCATATCACTATTAAAGCTTTTTTAAAGTAAAACAAATTACAGAAAACTTCCTGAAAGTATGAACATATATATTACACATGTTACAGTACTAAAATCATCATTGCTTTAAAAGAAGCAAACATACAATGATATATGAAAGTGCATATATACGTACTGAGGTAAGTTCAGGAAAATCCATGACTTGATATCTCCAGCCATGGTCCCCGCCAAGGTTAAGCTCAAGCTTGTTCAGTTTGTATGTGCTCATTAATTTCAGAAGTTTTCTGATTGTTGAAACTGGGAAAAAGTTCTTTGTAAGGTCCACAGATAGTGCCCGGTGTCCAAACCTTGCGTCATCAATGACCGTCATATCGGGTAAAATGTCGTAAAGACCAGCGGCGCCCATTAGTGATTCAACGGCATTGTGAAGACCTTTAATATTCAGAAGGAAAAAACATGTAGAAAATTATATATGTAAGATTCGTAATATGCGTATATTTTTTTGATAAAGAAAAATTAAAGTATGTCACTGGTATGGGTGATGTGTCAACTTGTGTTGCTTCTTAAGTGCAGGGTTATGGATAAAAATAATAATGAAAATGACGATGTAGAAAGAAGACGACGATTATAATGACGGTGATGATGTCTTAAGTATTTGGTTTTACTTGTACCTTTAGTCACGTGACTTTATTTATTAATAACTGGCCAATGCTGTATTTACTTTCAATTTTGGAATTCATAATTAAATTAAATTGTTGATTTTTAAGGATAATTGTGCGGACTTACCGGCTTCAGATGTGGCTGACATGTGGATAAGATTGAACCTGCGAGTCGGGGTCTTAGGCCTGACAGCGAGTTCGTAGTAGTCTTCTGACTTTCCTGGTTGGGGCGGGGTCTGCTGAATGTAGATTCTGTCAACATTTCCCGGGGGCACGGATGTTACATTCCTTAGTTTACCTCGGTGCATGTTCGGTATTGTTGTAAATACATCTGAAAATTAAAGCAAAAACATTTCTCTGAATTATTTCTTCTCAGTGGTCAACTTATTGGATAACAAGTAGGTTTGAAAAATAATAATGATACCACAAAAATGTATTTTTGTTCTTTATATGCGACCCTATTTAATAAAAGTTTACATATATAGATCTATCATTTTTGTGAAAGTATTTCATTTTTCTTAAAACCTGATAATGTCATTAATCGCTATTATTGTAATTATAATTTGTTTTTGTTTTTTAATGAATGAATCAATTAATTAACATGTAACTTACCTTCGAAATAGCCTTTAAAAGTGTCGGATACATTACGTTCGTGAAATACGTGAAACTGAGTGATTTTACTCATTTCCATCAGCGGTATATCTGGGGATACAGAATTATTCAGGGCAGCCGGTATAAAAATGGTGTGTGGGACTCTGTCCAAGTCTGCTACATCCGGTGTCATCATGGTCCTCTGTACGCCGTTCATCTGGGAATAATCATCATTCCTGGATTTAGCTAACTTAACAAAGCCCAAAGACTCGTCGTCTGTTGAATTAATCGTGCGTGGAATAGTGTTGGGCGATCTGACAATAAACTTGGGGAACATATCCTGTTTAAACACTGATAAACCTGTGGCATTTACTGTAATTTTGAAAGGCCTTGACCTGAGTCCACTCCATCGGCCATTTGGCACGGGGGCCATCTTATACAGATTGTCTTCATACGGTTCAATTGCAAAGCCGGCAACTTCAAATTTCGGCTTTGCTAATAGGTCTCTATTATGCAATGAAAATATAATTTCCCAGTCATCGGTATCAAGAATTGTTCTTTGACCTTTATTTTTCAATATATAGGCAATTTTGTAATGGCCTGTGGACAAATGGTTTGTTTCCAAAAACACTTGAATATCTAAATTATTCTGTATGTTATCTATGTCGATCTGTGTTGAAGGTCTGCTGAGAGCAGTTGGAATAATTACAACCACTGAAATAAAAGAAAAGTAAATTTAATACTGCAATAAATAAATAAATACTCTTCATGTTAAAAAATGGATTCAATTTATGTATGTCATAAAATGTAGAAACAAGAATCTAAGTTTTGTAGAAAACTAATAAAGTGCGTGAAATTAAAGGAACTCCGCTGAGATCTAACAACCTTAAAACATAAAAATATTGAATTTCTTACATAGATCAAGTTGGGTATTGAAATCAGAGGATAGTTAAAAAAATATGCACAGAAAAAATGAAAATCGTATATTTGTGCTATTCTTAACCAGATTCGGGTTTCAATTTTTGGGTCATTTTTCACAATTATAATATTTTTTCTGGAAGAAACAGACCAAGCGAATAATCTGAAATTTTACACACAAGTTCGTAGTTTAGAAATACATCAAATGGAAAATTATTCTTGAAAAAATTATCGCCACTTCCGTCATGACACAAACCTCGGTTGAGGCCCTTTGATAAGCGAATTGTTAAATTTGTTATGTATGCAAATTGTGTGTTTGCGTTTGTTTACCCTCGCCACCGGAAAGAGACCATATGGGCAAGCAATGTATGCAGAAGTTTTTATTGGAGCATTATAAATGGTGGCGGGGGTGTTGAGGAAATAAAAAAAAATGAATAAGAATAAAAAAAATCAATAATAAATAAAAACTAAATTTAAGCAAATAAATATAAGCAAATAAAAATTAATTTATTAATAATGCAACACTGCTAGCGATATCATAATGATCATAAAACTGAATAATTTCGTAAAATAAATATAAATAAATAAATTAATTAATTAACCATACTGTAAAATGAATGACTAAAAAATACATAAATCAAGATGTTAACAATAAGTATTACTTCAAAGAGCGTTGTCATTTATGGGGACACATATGTCTATTGTTAAATCTACAACATAACTGTATTTTTATGAGACTGTTTGATGTAACAAAATTTTAAACGCATGTCAAAGTCGTACCAATCAATAACATATCATTTTTATTGAAACTTCTAACGTACTTTTTTTAGATAGCACGTGCGCGTTCGTTAAGCGACGCAAAAACGTATATTTAACGTTAACGAGAGTATTTTGACAAGCAACATTGCCGAGAATGATGTATTGTCATAATTAAGTAATTTATTCTGTCTAAAACAATTAGCGATGACAGATACGGGTTGCATAAATGCTTTTTTTATATTTGTTTTACTCATTTTTACTGACCAACGAAGTGCTTGCTTGACAATTTGTATATGTATATACATTGTATACACCGTGACGGATAAACCACTTCCCCATATCTTATATTAATAATATTTATTTCTTTATGAATGTTTTTAAATCAATTCATAACAATTAGACATTTAGACTGTTTAACCTTTACTTTTTAAATGAAACAATACTTTTGCATCTATACTTATGTACTGAGGAAATATAGTGTTATACTTTTGGTACACTTTTTAGCCAAGAAAGTATATACATATATATTTTCAATTAAGAATTCACACCAAGAAAAGTAAGTCTTTATTTGAATAAGTTAAACTCATTTTGAACATTTGTCCTGAATCTAGTGGTTTACTAATCGCTTTGTTTCGTTATAAAGAAATCAATTAAAGTCTGTATTTAATGAATAACATGAAATAGACGGGTAGGAACTGCACCCCTTGCTTAACCCCATTTATGAAAATATAATAATGATCAATTGGCTGAAGTCACTTTCACAAGTTCATCCCATAACATTTGTAATTTTATTATATCCATACAAATTTGTTTTTCTGCATAAACTTGAATAGTAGAAAGTAGGGTATCATAACGTTTTTCTACTGATCATGGTGTAATAAAAACGCAGTGTTGAACTAATTATTCAGGGAGATCTGTCATCTCTACTTAAACTGATATTGGTAAATTCTTATGCGTAAGACTATAATTACATGCAGTTTCTTGAAGCTTGCCGGGTAAAGAATCGTTTATTTTTTATTTTCATTTTGCAGTATTTCCCTACTTCTAAAACAACACCTTACCCCATTCCCCTTTAAAAGGGTGAGAATGCAACTAAGCGGCCTTTTAAATGCAAACTTATATTAATTACCAGAGGCGACTATAAAATTGATATATTTATGTAAGGTACATGTATATACATATTTTTATCACAAATTCGATTTTTTAAACATTGCCCTAAATCAAGACAATAAATATAGGTGTAACATCTTGTTAGATAGATGCTGGTTTGTTTTCGTTATTAACGCATACTCATCGCGGTTTTCACATTAAAATTTTCATCACGTAAAATGATCACACCTCTCTTGTTCTTCCTCCACCTAAAGATTTATTACATTTTGATCAATTATAATAGTCTTTTTATGCAAGTTATATGCAATTACCTACGTGTCAATTAAACTGTCATTCACAGCTGCTTACGTGGCCTAAGATTTATATCCCTTCAATAAAGCATTGCTTTTATTCTAAGTATTAAAACAACAACATATTAAAACAACATAAGATGTTGTTGTTTTTTTTTCTCCAAATTCTTGTTATAAAAATTTACATTTCGAAGAAAATATGAAAGGCTGGACATTGTTTAACAGTTCTTTGATATGATTTAAGAAAATGAATACGGAAATGCAGATGTACATTAACAATTACGAAGATTTAGCCGAGATTCCTTTATGTTACCAACACACAAAAAAGCACCGGTTAAGACCCATATATTGGTCCCAATTTCCTGCATCTAAAAGTCTGTAAAACTATATGGGTAAGCCATATGCATATCATTATTCATCGTTCATGCGGTCTGAATTGCTAAATGAATTTAATGTCTAACAGGTTTAAACAGGTTTAATTCGATGAAACATTCTCTGAAGAAGAAAAAAGGTACATTTGAATATGCAAATTACGCTATTTATTTCACCTAATGATGATAGTTTTTGTTGATCCATTAATCATGTACTTGTTTTAAACATGTGTCTAATATTCTAGTCATGCCCATAATTAATCCTAATTTTGTTGTAATACTACAATGAAAGAAATGTTGGTTTTGTTATGTTGTTGCTTTTCTGGACTTATTATAGTGAAATAAGGAAACCAACATGGTTTTATTTGTCACGGACGGCATCGGTAAATAGAATGCGCCTTATACACCTCAAACCATATTTCTTTAAATGGATGAAGAAACATTGGTTTAAAGGTACAAGTGAATGTAAGCTTTGCAGCTTGATATACAAGCCTAACTAACAACACTTGTAAAATTTAGAAATGAAAAATATTGCTTAATGTTCTAATTCCCAATTATTTGATATTTTGTATGATTCTTTGTTATTTGACGTTATTCAATTTATTGTATATAAATATCAAACTATAAGTTGCACTACTTGAATAATTTTAAGCAATCTTTGAAACAAATTTATTTGTATTAGATAAGTATTATTTTTATACTGCGAGTTCCCCGCTTCGTTTTCTTTTTGCATACTTATAACATGTCATCCTTAATTTTTCTGTTAAATCACGCTGACTTAATAATTCAAACATGTCAAAAATAACATTTCAAACAAAGAAATTAATTATACTTTATAGAAATCATTAGAAACGACGACCATAAAATATTTCATTGGAAATATTTTAAAAGACTGCGTATTCAGTAAAGACACAAATTATAGAAAAAAGAGAAAGATTCATACAGAAAAAGTTAACACTGCTAATGAAAATATAGAGACAAAAGAGTATAACTCCTACCTGTAAATAAACAAGTAAACAGCCAAGCTGTGCTTAAGTGCGCCATCATCCTTGGGGCACAAACAAAACTGAGATCATGAGTTAATGTTTCACAAGAGATACATATATACTTATTGTGCCGTGACCTGATCAGTCATGCTCTCACGTCACGCGGTACGACAATTAAGACACAACGTACAGCTAATTATTGCAAAATGCGTACTAACTACTTTATACATAGACTAGCTTTTTATCATTTTACGGTTAATGAAAAACCTACGTTAGTACCAAGTGACAGATTATTCGGTTTTGCTGATATATTATTGAATCGCTGACGCATGTTTTACGTGGTTTTATCAATTTATATTTAACTGCCAAAGACAAGGGTTTTTTGTCCATGTTCTTATTTTATTTACTTGTTTATTTTGTTGTTGTTGTTGTTGTTGTTCCTTTTTGTTGCTACTTTCATTAATTGTTTTCTTTCCCAGCTTCAATCACTTATTTACTAAAAATAACTGTTTCTTTGTGTTTTAAGTAGAACAGACAGTAAACCACCAGCAAAAAGAAAAGAATTACAAATAAAAGTTACACGTATATAGTAGTACTTTATTGTTCATAAGTCTCTATATTTAACAAACACTATATGTATATTTTTACAAAATATACAAGGACACGACAAATGATATGCCTACAGCATGTCTATTGTCAAAAAATAGTTGATTGCTTTGCTAAGTGATCTTGTCAGGCCCTTAAACAAATACGTTAAATAATAAACGAGGCATTGGACAACCTTGTCGTAAACCGCTCGGACATAGGAAATACCGTTATCGGTTGACGCATATTGACGCATGCATCTCTAATTTTGTTTTGTTTCCTTACCTGTGATTCTAAAAATCAGCCTACGCGTCTTCTAGGAAAACCACTGCATCGTTGTGACCTTTTATGATGAAAAACAACATTTCTCTCAATTGATATGAAACAGTTAATTCATATGATATTGAATAAGCTTTTATAAACATGCACTTTCATTTGACAATTACAAAGCACGTCTCTATTTACAGATGCGTTCGTGATAGATCATTTACCTTAACAAGTTTACAAAGCTATATAATTAATTAGATTTCCTTAAATTTATTTATTTGTCGCTTAAAAAATAATGATTTGCAATGATTTATAGATGAGGTAAACCGTTTTATTTCATTATTGTGGCAGCTGCGTAAATTTCAAAATATGTTTGCAGTCAATCATAATAATTTAATAAAAAATGGTAAAATCATGCTTTATTGTTTTTCTATGTGTTTTGTTAATGTCTCAATTTTTAATTGGTTTCAATAAAAATGCTTTAATTACCAGGTTAGAGAAAATGTGGTCTTAAACTCGTCATCATAGCAGCTGTATAAAAGAAATATTTACACTTGAGGCTTTTTATTCTTAATTTCGGATTATTGATTCCTTTACTTTATGTTGAAGGTTGAATACCCCTTAAGCCGGTGCTAGGGGGTATAATGGATGTTAGAGCTTACATTATATCTCACGAACTCATTCAAACAAATTCTGCATTTTTTCTCCGTCTTTTAGAATTTATTCTTATTCTTTCGAAGGTTTCTCCCATTTTCGGATTTATTTTCAACAAAAAAACGTAAATAAACGTTTTTGAAAGCAATTATTCAGAAAATATGTAAAAGAAGGGTTCGAAAGTATATGATTCAAGCTACTTATTAGCTTTTCTAAAACATCTGAAACGTTTTCTTACTTCGTTTCAGTGTATTTGTATTTGCTTCAATCCACTTAAAACAGGGCGTATTACATAATATTTGGAGACACAAATGTAACATTGTAATGGAAGTTAACAAGTACAGAACATTTTCATTTGATCAAACTCTTATTTGAAAAATTGTTTTTACTTGTTCCATGATATTTTTCTATGTAGTTTGATATAAAAACATCGTTTAAATTAAGTTGTTATTGTCTGCGTTTGTACAAACATTGCGGTTTTGTTTCTTGACACTGGTTCGACATTTTCCTTGATGTTAACAAGCGTTTCCGTGTATAACAGCGCTGTGTTTGCAATATTTCTTAATCAGTCACGGTGAACCGCTGACCGCAGGTCATAATCAGTATTAAACATAACAAAACAGGCTACACTAAGAAATACTATAAAATGTGTATTTTTTAAACTGAATGCAATTATATAAGAAGAACACGTAACAGTATGTCAACACTTAAATGTATTTTATAGTTCGGATTCAATGTTGCAAATTATGATAAATAGGTAGATATGGTCTCGGTGGTATAGTGGTAAATTGTCTTACTAGAAATCGTGGAGTAGGGGGTTTGATACCCTGCTGCACCAACTATCCTCGGCCAGTCGTAATTTCTCCGTCACAATTCATCTCAGACGTTGAGTCTAATTGATAGTCATTTGTCTCTAACTGCTGTTCCAATCAAAGGGCTGCATACTCTGTGGTATTTTCTGATCTTTCCTGTATAAGTTTATTTTTATATACTATTATTCATCTTACGCAGCGACTGCGTTTAACAGTTTGTGATTGATACATAATGGAATTTTGCATGCTAAAATTTGCATCAAAAATCATTTTTCATTTTTTTATTACAGCCACACTTTATCTTTGCATATCGTGGCAACTTCCTTAAAAAAGATACTTTAAAAAATAAAGTTGCCCCGACAAGGATTTTAACCTTAGGCCTCTCACACCCTAAACGAGCGCGCTACCTCTGCACCACAGTGAAGTAATACGTATGTAGCGTGAATAAAAAGAAATATATTGTAATTCTAAAATTGAGAATTTTCATTTCGTATTTGTAAACCTTATTAATTTCGAGGTATTTTGTTCACGATAAACCTGTTGTTAAATACTGATGAAAATAATTTAGCGAAAATCTTCTCGCCAAAACAGTCCGACATGTATATATTCCATTACTCGACAGTCAGATTTATTTGTGTACTACGCTCTGGAGTATTCGGTAATAGACATAGCTAAAATAGCATTTTCATTGATTAAGCTTTACGGAAATAGTCGAACATGTTTCATTGGGTAAAAAAGATATTCATCCGCGAAATTTGTGATTGCAACCTCATATTTCTATTGACTAATGTAAACTTTTAATGCACTGTAATTCGTTCAATGCCTACATTAAAAATTATTATTTCTTTTAAATTGCTGGTTTTTAAGCAGTTTTGAGTGAGAACTACTTTGCGTTGTTAGGTCTGTGAGGAAATTTTGTGTTAGACCGTGGATGTTAGCTATGTATTTACTGATCTTGCGATCAGAAAATACAAAAATCATGTTGGATAAATTATCGGTCACTTGCGGAGAAATTGGTTAACTCTGAAAAGAAAACAAACACCTATCTGAAACACAGCAGAAATATGTTCAAACATTACAAAAATACGGACATTGATGCAAATTATTGAAGATTACATGATCAGCAAAATTTGATCTAATAATTGGATGTTTAAACAAGTTGTAATCATACCATTTTCTGTATATATAAAAACGTTTCTATGTCTTAAAATAATCTGATCAGACCTGTGCCGGGGAGGACCCTATACGATCACATACATTAATGTATGTCGTCCAAGAAGTAGGTCAACAGAACTAAACAAAGCAACATTTTCAATTCGCCGTGTTTGGCGACATTTTTTGGTTTCCATGGTACCTATACAAATGTAATAACATTTTGTGTAATTTTATTAGGTAATTATGAGGATTCTTGTTTATTGAAAAAAGTTTTCAATCTCTCCTTTTCTTTAAATGATCAAAGAAACGCATTGAATTAATTAAATCAATTAAATGGCTTGAATTTCAGGCTTCTTGTGACATGCTTTGGAAAATTATACAGTTAAAAGTAACAATTCTTATTTGACCCCACCCCATGGCTTTCATAAAACCTTCCCATACAAGGAAGATGATAAAAAGGACATCAAATAAACCACAACTCAGTGCACAATATTATTTTTGGTTTGTACAATTATCCAATGTATCATATATTCTCCAAATTTGCATTTCATTGCTTCTTTGAAAGAAAGAAAAAAACATAATGCACGTCAACATTAAAGCAGCCTGCCTTCAGATTCATGTTAATTTTTATGAAAAAACTTGAAAATGTTTTATTAGTAAAGAAATATGTAGTGAACAAAGAGAGTAATAAACAAGTTGCAAACGGCATTTACAATCTACGTAAATTAACAACAAAAGGTCAAAATATGCAAAAAATAGGCTTCTGTACTGTGTTAGTGGCACAGTAGAAATTTCAATATGCTGATAAATACTACAAAATCAGTTATTTATGGCATATTACATGTAAATTATTACTTGAACCTTGAATCGTTTTACTTTACGTTTTTATAAAATTTCTCTTTCTTGAAATAGTTTGACTCATCTGGAAAAATAAGACTTTAAAGTGTATAAAGCTATATATCTGCTCCAAAAATTATAGTTTGAATTTTAAAAAAGAATACTTCCAAAATGCTTAAAAAATAAACATTTGAAATAAACATGGTAGATTATTGCCTTAAAAGCGGATAACGCATGCACAAAACCATAACTAGACAGATAAAACCCTACTTAAAATAGTAAATAATATTTTGTTCCAGAACATTTATTTTGTTTACGTACACTTCATGTGTGTTTAAATAACAGAGACATTTTTCGAGAATCAACCATATAATAATGTAACCAATATAATTTTACTGTTGATAACTTTTATAAAAAATATTTTATAAGATTTTAATGTTAATGGGCAACAGCTATTTTGCAAGCTGTTATTTAGCCGTGCTTATCGTAATAATTTTATTATTTATTACTAATTTAGTGCCTATTCTACAAAAAGAAAACTTCTTTATCAATATATAACAATTTGTGTATGTGCTGTTCGCTAACAAACCCTATAACAAGTAGAGAAACTGATAGCGAACAGCATGGATCCTGATCAGACTGCGCGGATGCGCAGGCTGGTCTGGATCCAAGCTGGTCGCAAACCCATTATGTTGGTTTTGTCGTGACGCGGCTCATATAAAACAACAGCGTCGCGCTTGAATGAACATTATTTTATAATGTTGTCATTAATTACTAACTATACACGTCTTGTCATTAATAATGAATAGCAAATAAGACTAACAAATACAGTTTAGTGACCTGAGGTCATAAAACCTTAC